TACTACTGCTACTGCTACTGCTACTGCTACTACTGCTACTGCTGCTACTGCTACTGCTGCTACTGCTGCTACTGCTACTGCTACTACTGCTACTGCTACTGCTACTACTGCTACTGCTACTGCTACTGCTGCTACTGCTGCTACTGCTGCTACTGCTACTGCTACTACTGCTACTGCTGCTACTGCTGCTACTGCTACTGCTGCTACTGCTGCTACTGCTGCTACTGCTGCTACTGCTGCTACTGCTACTACTGCTACTGCTACTGCTACTGCTGCTACTGCTGCTACTGCTACTGCTACTACTGCTACTGCTACTGCTGCTACTGCTGCTACTGCTACTGCTACTACTGCTACTGCTGCTACTGCTACTACTGCTACTGCTGCTACTGCTGCTACTACTGCTACTGCTACTGCTACTACTGCTACTGCTACTGCTACTGCTGCTACTGCTGCTACTGCTACTGCTGCTACTGCTGCTACTGCTGCTACTGCTACTGCTACTGCTACTACTGCTACTGCTGCTACTGCTACTGCTACTACTGCTACTGCTGCTACTGCTACTGCTACTGCGACTACTACTACTGCTACTGCTACTGTCACAAGTGTAAAAACAGGTTCTTCGGACCCGGATTAAAAGCGAATTAAAAGCAATTTATTATAAAATACATTAAAAACAAGTAAATAAAAGCAATAAAAACCTAAGCTAAAAAAAGGGCTAAAAAGCTAAAACAGGCTAAAATGCGTCCCCACGGCCTGGGCCGCCAGACCACGGGGCTCTCACCCGCCGCGCCTGGCTCCCGTGTCTGGCTCCCTCTCCGTTTTCCTCCTGCCCCCTCCCCATCTCCTTTTGTACCGTGGCACAGGTGTTCTAATTGTCACGTGGGGGGCTTCAGGTGGTGCAAGTTAAAATCAATATTAAAAACACACACACAACATGCATAAAATATAAATAAACCATATTAAAACCCACCACCCATTTTGCACCCCCTGACACTACTACTGCTACTGCGACTACTGCTACTGCTACTGCAACTGCTGCTACTGCTGCTACTGCTACTGCTACTGCTGCTACTACTGCTACTGCGACTACTGCTACTGCAACTGCTGCTACTGCTACTGCTGCTACTGCAACTGCTGCTACTGGTACTGCTGCTACTGGTACTGCTGTTACTGCTACTGCTACTGCTGCTACTGCTACTGCGACTACTGCTACTGCTGTTACTGCTACTGCTGCTACTGCTACTGCTACTACTGCTACTGCTACTGCGACTACTGCTACTGCTGTCACTGCTACTGCTGCTACTACTACTGCTACTGCAACTGCTACTGCTACTGCTACTGCGACTACTGCTACTGCTGTTACTGCTACTGCTGCTACTACTACTGCTACTGCAACTGCTGTTACTGCTACTGCTGTTACTGCTACTGCTGTTACTGCTACTGCTACTGCAACTGCTACTGCTGTTACTGCTATTACTGCTACTGCTACTGCTGTTACTGCTACTGCTGCTACTACTACTGCTACTGCAACTGCTACTGCTGTTACTGCTACTACTGCTACTGCGACTACTGCTACTGCTACTGCGACTACTGCTACTGCTGTTACTGCTACTGCTGCTACTGCTACTGCAACTGCTACTGCTGTTACTGCTACTACTGCTACTGCTTCTACTGCTACTGCTACTGCGACTACTGCTATTGCTGTTACTGCTACTGCTGCTACTACTACTGCTACTGCAACTGCTACTGCTGTTACTGCTACTACTGCTACTGCTTCTACTGCTACTGCTACTGCTGTTACTGCTACTGCTGCTACTACTACTGCTACTGCAACTGCTACTGCTGTTACTGCTACTACTGCTACTGCGACTACTGCTACTGCTGTTACTGCTACTGCTGCTACTACTACTGCTACTGCAACTGCTATTGCTGTTACTGCTACTACTGCTACTGCTACTACTGCTACTGCTACTACTGCTACTGCGACTACTGCTACTGCTACTGCAACTACTGCTACTGCAACTGCAACTGCTGCTACTGCTACTGCTACTACTGCTACTGCTACTACTGCTACTGCTACTACTGCTACTGCGACTACTGCTACTGCTACTGCGACTACTGCAACTGCTACTGCTGCTACTGCAACTGCTACTACTGCTACTGCTACTACTGCTACTGCTACTACTGCTACTGCGACTACTGCTACTGCTGCTGCGACTACTGCTACTGCAACTGCTACTGCGACTACTGCTACTGCTGCTGCGACTACTGCTACTGCTGCAACTGCTACTACTGGTACTGCTACTGCAACGACTACTACTACTGCTACTACTGCTGCTAATATTACTGCGACTGCGACTACTACTGCAGGAGCTACACCAGGTGCCACAGTGGGGCGGCTGCAGCTGTAAAATGCCAAACTGTGGTTGTGTCCTCAGGCAAGACACTTGTGTGTGTAAATGGTTGGTCGTGGGAGGGGTGGATCTACTGGTGCTACTACTACAACTGTGACTGCTACTTCTGATGCTTCATGCTAACCCCCCAACCCTCTCCCCCCCAGGGCTGGTGGACCAGGCCGCGGTGCAGAGGAACTCGGTCCTCCACATCGTGGGGATGGTCGGCTCCATCGATAACGACTTCTGTGGCACAGACATGACCATCGGCACCGACTCTGCTCTTCACCGCATCATTGAGGTGGTGGACGCCATCATGACCACGGCCCAGAGGTAGGCTCCTGCTGAGACTACTGCTGAGACTACTGCTGAGACTACTGCTGAGACTACTGCTGAGAGTACTGCTGAGACTACTGCTGAGAGTACTGCTGAGACTACTGCTGAGACTACTGCTGAGAGTACTGCTGAGAGTACTGCTGAGAGTACTGCTGAGAGTACTGCTGAGAGTACTGCTGAGAGTACTGCTGAGACTACTGCTGATAGGACTGATTATAGTACTGCTGCTGTTACTACTACTGCTACTGCTGCTACTACTTATGCTGATGATGATACTGCTAACTGCTATCACTACCACTACTACTACTACTACTACAGCATCCTGATCATAGCTCATTGGTATTGGTAATAGTGCTGATAATACTGCTACTTCTACTACTACTACTCTTGCTACTGCTATTACTATTACTACTACTACTACGCTCTGCTGCTACCACAGCACAGAGGTATTCATACTGCTAAAAATAATGCCAATATCGCTGGCCCTGATTTGTCGGCAGCTCAGGATTTGTCTGGTTGGTGATGTCACATGATCCCAGGTCAGAAAAGCCAGAGGTCAGACTGCGGCTACAGAAACAGAACCAGCTAAAAGTGATGACATCAGGGACTTTAACTCTTCAATTTAGTTTGAGGTCAAAGAAACCGACAGCCGACAGAATGTGAGCAGACACTCAGAGCAAAGAGGCAATGATCAGTCCTGGGTCTACAGCCTCAGTCCTGGGTCTACAGCCTTAGTCCTGGGTCTACAGCCTCAGTCCTGGATCTACGGCCTCAGTCCTGGGTCTACAGCCTCAGTCCTGGATCTACAGTCTCAGTCCTGGATCCACAGCCTTAGTCCTGGATCTACGGCCTCAGTCCTCGATCTACGGCCTCAGTCCTGGATCTACGGCCTCAGTCCTGGGTCTACGGCCTCAGTCCTGGGTCTACGGCCTCAGTCCTGGATCTACAGTCTCAGTCCTGGATCCACAGCCTCAGTCCTGGTTCTACAGCCTCAGTCCTGGGTCTACAGCCTCAGTCCTGGGTCTACAGCCTCAGTCCTGGGTCTACAGCCTCAGTCCTGGATCTACGGCCTCAGTCCTGGGTCTACAGCCTCAGTCCTGGATCTACGGCCTCAGTCCTGGGTCTACAGCCTCAGTCCTGGATCTACAGCCTCAGTCCTGGATCTACAGCCTCAGTCCTGGATCGATAGCTTCAAAATCAAAATGTGAAAATTATCATTAAAGGAGATAAAAAATCTATTGTTTTGATTCTAATAAAGAAAAGGAAAAAGAAACACTATAAACAAACTCTCTGATGAAGGCCATTTGTCCAGGAGTGACACATCATAGATTGAGATTCAGTTTTTTGCCATTTGCAGTTAACCACATTGGAATACAGTGAATGTACAACACTACCCTCAGTGAGCATCAGACAGCGAACATTAGTGTATCGCGTAAATTGTCCAGAAATGTGGAACCAAATGTTTGCAAATCCTAGCCCCGTTTCCACCATCTCTACTGCATGATTGGGAGCCTTTTCCAACGGCAATGTTAGACTTATACCAGGTACTTTTTTACTACCTAGTTTGGTCCTGGTTCTTTCCAGGCCGAGCTGGAACTAAAGGGTTCTAACTGACAGAGATTGGAAGCCATGGTTACCAAGGAATTTCCCTGGAATACTGATTCGTTGTGGGCAGATTGCTAGGATACAGTACTTGATACTAAAGCGTACTGGAAATGCGAGTAGAGTAGAGTAGAGAAGTTTTAGACCTGGTTCAGACCTTGTTCATTTCTGGCTACAATGGGACATTTTTCTTGCACTACTTGTTTTGGCAGCTCTAAATGCCATCCTCCTGACCCAGAAACAGACAAAGGGGATGAATGAATGAATGAATGAATGAATGAATTAATGAATGAATGAATGCTCCCTTTGGCCTCATACACTGTGTATTTTGCATCTCCCAGATTCCAGACTTCCATGATCACAGTTTGTCCACAAATGCAATAGTGTTGAACTGATAAAATCACTGTGTCCTAATTAAAGTTCTGTTTGTGTTTTCAGCCACCAGAGGACCTTTGTGCTGGAGGTCATGGGTCGCCACTGTGGGTACGAGAGCCGCATTTTAATCCATTCTCCTTTTCTGGCTTAGACCTGGTTTAGTCCTACTTTAAGCCTGTTTAAGAGCGAGTTTAGACTTCCTTTAGACATCCGTTAAACCTGGTTTAGATCTAGTTTAGTCCTGCTTTACGCTGCGCTTAGACCTCCTTCAGACCTCTTTTAGACGTCCATATAGTCCTGGTGTTGACCGGTTTCGACCTGGTTTTGATCGGTTTTGACCTGGTTTTGAACAGGTCACATGGAATTACATCATGTATGAATACTTATGCAAACCATGATGTATGATTTTGATTTCACCTCACAAAACTTAACAAAACTAGTGAAAGAAGCAAACTGTTGAGCCAGGAAGCGGTGACATTGAGTTTATAGTTGTTTTCAGATACTTACGTACTGCAGCTTTAATGTCTCGTACATTAATGTCACTTAACGGTTACATTTCCACAGATATCTGGCCCTGGTCAGTGCTCTGGCCTGTGGAGCAGACTGGGTCTTCATCCCTGAGATGCCTCCTGAGGACGGATGGGAGGATAGCATGTGCCAGAAGCTGTCAGAGGTAAAAGTACATAAATGCAGATTTCAGTTCTCCTCTAAACCTGCTTTGGACCTGCTTTTGTCCTGCTTTAGACCCACTTCAGTCCTGCTTTGGACCCACTTTAGTCCTGCCTTACTGCTAATTTACACATCACGCGTTACAGCACGTACGCGTTATACGCGCAGCAGACGCGCGTAACTTTTTTCCATGTTAACTAGTGCTGTCCAACGATTAAAATATTTAATCGCGATTAATCGCATGAATTTCATAGTTAACTCGCGATTAATCGCAAATTAGTCACACATTTGTATCTATTCTTTATGTCCCTTGAATTAATTAAAATAAAATAAAAATAATAAAATAAAATAAATAATAATAATAAAATAAAATAAAAAATGAATGAATAAGTAGATAAATATAATAATAACATGAATAATATGTGCATATGTGCATATAATGATAATACACAAGTCAGGGTAAGCGAAAGCTTATTTTAATGCATGACACGTTTAGTTAAGAAAAACACTTGGGAAAAAGGAACAAAATAAGAGAGGGAATGGGCCGGGCGTGGGCTCCCTCCCCCCCTTTTTGGGGTGGGGGCCTGCTTGGGGGTCTGTGTGTGTGTCGGATTTGGTTTTGATGTTGGCTGGGTTCCGCTTAGCTTGGTGAAACTCAGGCGGGCAGACTTTATATCTTATCTTATCTGTGGGGTGTATGTGTGTGTGTGTGTGTGTGTGTGTGTGTGTGTGTGTGTGTGTGGAGTGTGTGTGTTTATGGGTGTGGGTGTGTGTGTGTATGTGTGGGTATAGACCATAGACTGTATAGAAACATCATGGTGTCATTATGATGATGATAAACAATCCGTAAATATTTTGTAAATTTGTTCATGTAAATACTCTATGCTGTTTCTCTGTTTACTTTCGGTATTTCTATGACTGTATACTGTTTGCTTGTATTGCCTTTTTTATTAACCCCTCTCCCCCATCTCCCACTTCATGTCCCCCCCCCCCTCCTATGTGCCCTTCTGGGTTTCTTCTTTGGCCCCCTGTATCTCCAACTACATATTGTTTGTAATCTCTGTCTACAATGTATCTGAACTAGTCATTTTCTTTGTTTCTATTTTTTTTCTGTATATGTGTTTGTCTGCAATAAAAAGTAAAAAAAATAAAATAATCGCGCGATAAAAAAAATGACGCCGTTAATATTGATTTGCGTTAACGCGATATTTTGGACAGCACTAATGTTAACCTATGATGATATTTATTTATATTAGCGTTATACGCGCGTATGTCGGACATATAACGCGAAGCTGCGCTCTAATTTAGGATTGACTTCTAATTTTGTGCGCGCACCAACGCGCACAAAATTGAAATCTCATGTAAAACAAGATTTTTCTAGCGGTCCTTGGCTCTAGATCGCATCTGCACACACACAGCACTTGTGTCTAAACATCAGCAGGAGGAGCAGCAGGTTTTACAGTGATTCTGGACATCGTTTTTTTTCTTTCATAGAGTCTTGCGTCTGGCCAGACCCAGTTCAATTCAAACATCTGCATGTCTCTTAAATGTTTCTGGCTTGTGTCTGTCCTGGATCCTGTGTTCTGCAGAACCGAGCCGACAAGAAGCGTCTGAACATCATCATCATCGCAGAAGGAGCCATCGACCGCCACAACAAGTCCATCAGCGCCGACAACATCAAGGACGTAAGTACGAGCTGCGAGAAACTGGGAAAGTCTACTGGGAGACGGACTTAGACCTGCCTTAGTCCTGCTTTAGACCCTGCTTTTGTCCTGGTTTAGACCAGTTTTGGACAAGCTTTAGTTCAGCTTAGTCCTGTTTTAGACCTGCCTTTCATCTACTTTAGTCCTACTTTAGTCCTACTTTAGTCCTACTTTAGTCCTACTTCAGTCCTGCTTTAGTCCTACTTTAGTCCTGCTTCAGTCCTACTTTAGACCTGCTTTAGACGTGCTTTAGACCTGGTTTAGACCTGCTTTAGACCTGCTTTTGTCCTGCATTAGACCAGTTTTGGACAAGCTTTAATCCTGCTTTAGTCCTGCTTAGCCCTGCTCTAGAACTGCCTTGTATCTTCTTTGGTCCTACTTTAGTCCTGCTTTAGGCCTGCTTTAGTCCTACTTTAGTCCTGCTTTAGTCCTGCTTTAGACCTACTTTAGACCGGGCCTAGACCTGCTTTAGTCCTGCTTTAGACCTGCTTTAGTCCTGCCTTAGTCTGGCTTTAGACCTGTTTTAGACCTACTTTAGACCGGCTTTAGACCTCCTGTAGTCCTGCTTTAGGCCTGCCTTAGTCTGGCTTTAGACCTGTTTTAGACCTGCTGAGGGAAAGGTTACGGGCGGCACGGTGGCTGAGTGGATAGCACTCTCGCCTCTCAGCAAGAAGGTCCTGTGTTCGAATCCCGGTTGGACCAGGGCCTTTCTGAGTGGAGTTTGCATGTTCTCCCCGTGTCTGCGTAGGTTTCCTCCGGGTGCTCCAGTTTCCCCTACCACTAAAAATATGTACAATAGGTCTGGCATGCGCCTCCTGTTCGGCGACCCCGCTCCCAAAAATAACAATTGTAAACCGCTGTGAGACTCCGATGTGCAGTGAAAAGGCGGTATATAAATAAAGATTACTACTACTTACTACTTGGAGATTTGTTGCTACCTCTTTCATTGAATTGATTGAGAGTCACAATCTGATCAGAGAAATGGAGAGCCAGGGTTGGGCTCAGAGCGAGGCCTGGACGTGACGTTTGCAGCATTTCTATGATAATGAAGTCTCATGTATTAAATAAATAATAGATTAGTATTACATCATGCCCATTCTAACTGATACTCTGAGCTTCATAAGGATATAGAGTGAGAGACTTCCCATTTATCTACCTGTAGCAGTAGGACTGATTTTGAGCCAGAGAGACCAGTTGCCAACATGTTTGTAATGTGACATAAATGCTAATGTGTTGCAGCTGGTCGTGAGTCGCTTGGGCTTCGACACCCGGGTCACCATCCTGGGTCACGTGCAAAGAGGAGGAACCCCGTCTGCCTTCGACCGCATCCTGGTAACAAAGGCCTCCTCACTCATTCACATGTCGTCATGTCTTTTACCTCTTTGAAAAATAGAAACGCTTTACATTGTGTGTGTGAATTTGGTGACGGTCTTATGGATAGAGCTGAAAATATGACCGTCTAAATCTGACACTAAATCTTAATCTGGGATTGGATGGTCGCCTCTTTGAGTCCAATCAGTGACACTTATTTCTGTGTGTTTTAAAGTGTGTTAGACGCGGCGCTCTGAAGATAATTTATTTCATGTAGTTTTTTTTTAAATATTGCATGTTTGTTCTTTGTTTTTTGTCTGTTTTGTTGTTGTATGTTTTTGTGTTATATGGACTCTTTAAAATGAAATTTTAAAAATACCTATAATGGAGGTACAGCAGAGGCCAAAGGCACATCTCTGAAGAGGTCCTTGTTTAGTCCCGCTTGAGACCTTCTTCCGTTTTGCTATAGTCCTGCTTTAGAGCTCATTTAGACCTACTTTAGTTCTGTTTTAGACCTGCTTTAGACCTGCCCTAGACCTAGTTTACTACTGGTTAGACCTAGATCAGGTTAGGACTACCGTAGATCTTGAGGAGACCTGGGGTAGACCTGCTTGTACCTAGTTCAGACCTTGTTTATGGTTTGTTTAGACCTGTTTTAGACCCTTTCAGGCTCAGTTTAGTACTGTTTAGACCAGTGTTTTTCAATTACCGTGCCGCGTCACACTAGTGTGTCGTATGATATTGTCTGGTGTACCTACTTTGTCTAAAAATAACTGCATCCACCGTTGGCGAGCGCTGACTTGTTTTGAACTGTGGAGTAACCACGTAGTACTTTTTCATATCAATAGGGAGCAGCAGAGAGCTAAGTACTTTGAAACAGTAGTGAGAAGTGAAAGTAGTTGAGACGGTTTTGAAAAGGAATTTTGCCATTTCTGAAAAGGATTCACATCCTCCGCTCTGACCCCGGGGCAGCTGTGGCCGCGTTGTACTGACAGCCGCTTTGACAACAGCTCAGCGAACGCACATCCGTGGTACAGAGACCATAGTCGCATGGACAGAACCATAGGCCCGTGTTCCCCGTGTCTCTCCCGTGTCTCTCCTGTGTCTCTCCCGTGTCTCCCCCGTGTCTCCCCCATGTCTCTCCCATGTGTCCCCCCGAAGCGCAACCAAAACCTCCGAATTTAAAGCTTGGATACCTACATTTTCCCCATGCATAAACAATGCATGTTATTGGTGCACAGAAGTAAAATGTTGTGAACAAATCCAACAGAACACACAACAAGCCATTTTTTTATTTTTTATTTCACACACAAGAGCCCTGTGAGTCATTATTTGACTTTTTGGGATGAGAGTGGTTTTTTTAAATGGTTTTTCCACACAGTCAGTGCCACTTTATTCCCAAACTCTGGTTAACTTTTTGTATTGAGAAATTTTAAGCAAAGCATAATGTCAAGGCCTGGATGTCTATCTAAGCACTTTGATGAGAATGACTTTATATTGTGAATATAGGCTACAGAGTCTATATTTTTCCATTTTCTCCTGGTGGTGTGCCGCGAGATTTTTTCAATAAAAAAAGTGTGCCTTGGCTCAAAAAAGGATGAAAAACACTGGTTTAGACCTCCACCTTATTTAATCCCGCTTCAATCTTAAAACGACCTGAGATAGACCCGTTTCTAGATTTGGTTCAGACCTGGTTTAGTTCAACATCTGCATGTCTAGACCTCATGAGCTAACGACATGTCCGATCAAATGAGGAAGGACGAGGAACTGGAGCTGGATTTGAGACCAAGGGTTGAATTCTGTTTTTCTCCTCTGTGTGTGTGTGTGTGTCCAGGCGAGTCGTATGGGCGTGGAGGCAGTGGTGGCTCTGCTGGAGGCCTCCGCGGACACTCCGGCCTGTGTGGTCTCTCTGGTGGGGAACCAGGCCGTGAGACTGCCCCTCATGGAGTGTGTGCAGATGGTAAGGACCGAGAACCAAAGAACTGAAGACCACAAGACCACAGACCTTTAGCCCCAAAGCACTGTGAGACTGCTAGATAGATTAGCCTTCAGTCTTTTGCTTTACCTTTGATACAGGTCAGCCTTTGGTATTAGCTCTGCTTTGGAAAACAGATTAGCGTTTGCTGTTAACTCTGTATGAACTGGGGTAGCCTTAGCCGTTAGCTCTGTATTAAATGGGTTAGCCTTAGTCGTTAGCTCGTCCTTTGAAACGGGTTAGCTTTAGTCTTTAGCTATGTATTTATTTATTAATTAATTAGTTTATTTGGAAGGGACAGAACAAAGAACATTGCTACATTATAACCCTTGTCTGATGAAGGGTAGTGACTCGAAACGTCACGTGGTGAGAATTAAAATCTCTAGGGAGAAAAGGCTGTGCAGAGTCATCTCCATTTTTCTCACATTATAACTGATGCCATGTCCATAGGCCATCTAGCCAAAGTCTAATATGCAGACCTGGGCCCTAACACCTAACACTTCTAAACTATTAAATTAGTTAGCTTTAGCTGTTAGCTTGGGCTGAAAGGGGTTAGCTTTAGCTGTTAGCTTTGAGGACCAAAGAACTAAAGCCTTATAGAACTGTTGCCGTCCTCTCTCTCCTCAGACTCAGGAGGTGCAGAAGGCCATGGACGAGAAGAAGTTTGAGGAGGCCGTCGGACTGAGGGGAAGGTAATGTCTACAGTTATATCGTCAAATTCAAAGACACTCCCGGCTGAAGAAAATCCGTTATCTGACAGTTTAAACATGCCAAACTCACAAAAATCTTGGTCATTTGTGCCGGGTAAAGGAAATAGTCACATTTTGATTATTTTTCTTTCATCAAATTTGCATAGTCACAATAGCTAATATTGTTAAGGTTATGGTTGGGGATAACGGTTAGGTGGCAGTGGGGACTAAATGCCAAGATTTTAGGGAGTTCCATAGTCTCATATTTTTGCACATGCAACTGTTAAAGTCTGTATTATTTATGAAACTAAAGTTAGGTACCCCAGCTTTACCACCGCTCTTCTGTTCCAGGAGCTTCGAGAACAACCTGACCTGCTACAGGCTGCTGTCGTCTCGGAAGAACGACAGTGAACTTCCCACGGTGAGTCCAGACGCACGCTGACCGCCTTTAAAGCTTATAGGAGACAGAAGACGCAATATTTACTTTTTTCTCCATGTTCTAATAGCGTCAGTCAAGACCTGGAGTTGTTTGTCGATCCATCCATGCTTGAATCGAGAACCTCTGGCAAACACGTAGCCCCGCCCCCTCTGTCTAAATGCAGATCTGTAATAGTATGATGTCATTGAACCACTATGACATCACACTCAGAGCAGTTTGATGTCTTTAAAACAAAATAAATATAATTAGTTTCGTCATTCTTCATTATTTTCTACTGAAGATTTTATTTCACATTATGAAACATGAAATAAACAGTACATAGAATCATATTTTTTAAAGGATAAGAAGCAAATAACATGAAATATTCTTTATCTCCGGTTGTTTCCTCTTGAGTCTCTGACCGCTGCCCTGGTTTCCCTCATGTGGGTGTCTTTGTTTTGCACACAGCTGTAAATGCAGGTGGAAACAGTTACAGTCAGGATTGATCACAGCGTAACGAGTTTAAAAACAGGGCATATTGACAGAAGGGGCATGGCCATTAACCTTGTCTGAAAGGGGTTAGCCGTAGCCTTTAGCTTGGTTTAGCCTTAGCTGTTGTTTTCAAATTTCAAAAATAGTACAACATTTAAATCGTGTATCTTTTGTCAATAAAATGTGGGTTCTTTATGAATAAAATACCCTATCTGAAAGGAGTTAGCCTCTAGCTCGGTCTCAAAGGGGCTAGTCCAGGGGTGTCCAAACATTTTAGTGAAAGGGCCACATTAGTTCACCAGACTAGTCCAGGGGCCGACATCACGGACTGAAAAACTAACTGGACTGACATCGGGCTGTTCTGAGCTTTAAAATGATCTATAGCGGAGCTGAAGTTGGCTGAATGACAAATATTTTGCATCTCATCAGCTCACAAGTCAACGACTGAATTCCAGGCGTACGGGGCTTTAGAATGAGATACATGTCTATATTGGCTGAGCTGAAGTTGGATGGATGACACAGTGAACTTGTGTTTATGATCTCAAAGACTACTTTGGGTTAGCAAGGTACAGGGCCACATACAATGACACTGAGGGCCGCAATTGGCCCCCGGGCCTGAGTTTGGTCATGCCAGGGCTAGCCCAATTAGCCTCGCTTCGGCTAGAAGTCCCTGATTATTGTGTGTATGAAGCTAAACACAACTTCAGGTCTGTGGCTGATTAGAAACTGTTGGTAGAAAGCTCGCTGCTCAAACTAACCGTAGATTTTATGGATTTCTTTGCTGATTTCTGACCTTGATCTTCCTCCAAACGCTGACGTCTCGACCCCGACAGCTTTGTAAATCTGTGTCTAATGAAAAGTCATGTCATTTGTGTGCGTTTTGTGACTTTTACGGACTCAGAAAAAGGTAAAGAAAGAGCATGTGAAGCCGACGCCTGCTTTTGTGATGAAGAGAAGACTGTGGAGAGTCTGGAGAAGCACTTTGGGGTCGTGCATGTGTTTGTGTGTGCTGCCTGATCTGAGAAGTTACTGAAATGAGCTGTTTTAAGCTGCTTTGCATCACTTTAGTAACAGGTCTGCTGCCAAGCTATTGTTTTTTGTACATCACAGTCCATACACAGGGCAACCCGGATCTATTATAATAACTGGATAGGGTATTACTAGCTTGGACCCATGAGCTTGGGGGATTCTCTGCCTAAACGAGAATAAATTAACACGGGCAACCCAGACATCTTCCCCATAGAACTCAACGTAAACTAAAACAGCCCGACCTCAGCTGACATAGAGCCTACAGCTTTTACAAAGGTCGAATTTTGTGGGGATTTTAGTGTCCCTTGTCATCCTGAACTTTTTTTCATCTTAAATCCTTCAGTTTTCTTTAAATCCACACTTTAGTGCCACAAACTCTGCTCGTTTGGCAGCCGCTCTAGCTCCGCTCTGATTGGTCAAAGCGCGGCCGAGCCCCTCTGTGCACGTGCACGAGAGCCACACACGCGTATTTGGCGCTAAGCATCATGGGAGCTCGTCCACTGCGCAGAACCGGGAGGACCAGACGATGCCCAAATATAGCCGAGTTCCGCTAATCTTTCAGTCCCCGTGTATGTCCCACGCGCTACTGAGCACAAGCCATTCATTTGAATAGGATGCCATCTTGGATCACCGGGACTTGCAAGGCAACCCAAAAACATACAGATAAAACTAATTATCACAGTACATTCAAAATAGTGTGGATACTGTCTGTTTTCCTACTCCTAGCCCCTCCCTCTGCAGACACCTAGCCCCGTACCCTGCAGACACCTAGCCCCGTACCCTGCTTACAGCTAGCCCAGGGGTGGCCAACCAGTCAGAGACTAAGAGCCAATTTTTTTTACCGTGTTAAGCAAAGAGCCACATCATACAAATGTGCACTACATAAACATCACCCCAACCCTTACACACGCACACGAACAGACACGCTCTCTCACACAAACACACACACACAAACACACACACACACGCACGCTCACGCACACGAGCAGACACGCGCACACACACACACACGCTCACACACACACACACACGCTCACACACACACACACACACACACACAAACACATGCAATCTGTCTGAGCAGAGAGAGGTGTGCTCTGCTCACACAGATTTATTGTAAATGTCATCAACATGATAATGACAGAAATTGACTTGTACAGCACTAAAGGGCTGGACTGAACTCTCCCCGGTTTGCGGGCGCTTCCACCGCTCGCTTCAGCCTCTCCCCGGTACTTTTTATTATGGTTTGGCCCTGGTTCTAACCGGGCGAGTCGATACCAGAACAATCTCACGTCAGCGAACATCAATTATGATTCCGAAATGAACGCTTTCAATCTCTAACCAAGAAAAAAAATCAAGTTTCAACCCAGTGTTCAGCAGAAACACAACTGTCTTTAGTAAAAGATATAGATTTGACACATAACACCAACACCACTTTAGCTGATTTAGAACCAGACACATGTTCAGTATAAGACCAGATACTTTTGCATTTGATTGAAGACAGACACTCACCAGGCAGGCTTATCTCCTGGTGTAGCTGGTGTTAGCTGGTGTTAGCCGGTGTTAGCCGATGTCCGTAAATTTAATCCATTTGGTCAAACCACCTCCAGACTTTTCGGGTCTGCCTCTACTTCTGCTGCTGTAATCTTTCATTTCACGGTTGTCACTTTTAAGCTTTTTAACTTTTCTCTGCATTGTCATGTTTGTGGGAATCATTCTGCTCCGTCCTTAGTGCTAGCTCCACAAACACCTTCTGGTTTCTGGTGGAACCATCGAGCTCACGCTGGTGTCCTCTCCTCAAACTGAGGAAGGTGTTGCCCTCATCCAGCGACCAAGATATTGTTTTCCGTACGGACGCCATGGGTCGAGGCAACGTGTTGTTTGTTATGATATTTGCAACAACTGAGGCAGCGGCTGCAGAGTGATTGACAGCGCATCTGGCCAATCAGAATTGACGTTCGCCGACGTCAGATTGTTTTGGTGGCCTGGCTAGTGGAGTGAAGTCGGCCTTTACTATGGGTCAGAACTACATAGGGAATGAATGGCAGCACCACCACCGAGGCGTTTTTGACGCTTGTCATGTGAAAGCCCGAGAGCCGCACGGAACAAGCCAAAGAGCCGCATGCGGCTCACGAGCCGCGGGTTGGCCACCCCTGAGCTAGCCCCTCCCCCTGCTGACAGCTAGCCCCTCCCCCTGTCGACTTCTGGGACCTTACAGTGTGGCATTTGCATGTTCTCCCTTGGTCTGTGAAAGCTACATTTCCCCCTACCACTCCGCACAGTCGTTTACACTTTAGTCTAGAAGCGATTCTCTGTAGAACATGTTTCTTTTGTTGCTTTGTTTGGTTTTGCTTTTTTGGATATGTTTGTTCACATATGACTTTCTAAATCAACAAATAAGATACATTCAGTTTAAGATTTAGTTTGGCTGAATTTAAACTTAGGGAGGCTACAATTATGCTCTATTTTTGTGTGCGTTAAGACTAGGACTTTCAGATTTCTGATACTACCAGAGCCTTCATTTTGACTGCTCCCATTCAAACCAATGAAATTCTGTGAAATTGGTAAAATGTTTTAGTTTTCCACCAGGTTTTTTAACCTTTATTCACTTTTATTCACACATTAGGAAGATTCAAAAGACACATATGCTGGGTAATTCCAAAACTAAAAGCCGTCAAATTGACTGCTCTGCGAGTTCTAGTGTTATATCAATGGCAGGTGATCTCCCCCAGTTAATGCATGATGGTATTGCGCAAGCAGCATATGGCCGATATTGTGACGTTTGGAGACATCTGCAGTTCCTGTGACATGATGAAATAACGTTGGATGGATTTTTCTTAATTCAACAGACTCTCTGTGTTTTCATGTTTCCAGCCCTGAACGTAACTGGTCTCTCTCTGGTCTCTCACTGGTCTCTCTCTCAGGTCTCTCTCTCTGGTCTCTCTCTCTGGTCTCTCTCTCAGGTCTCTCTCAGGTCTCTCTGGTCTCTCTCTCTGATCTCTCTCTCTGGTCTCTCTCTCTGGTCTCTCTCTCTGGTCTCTCTCTCTGGTCTCTCTGGTTTCTCTCTCTGGTCTCTCTCTCTGGTCTCTCTGGTTTCTCTCTCTGGTCTCTCTCTCTGGTCTCTCTGGTTTCTCTCTCTGGTCCTCTCTCTCTGGTCTCTCTCTCTGGTCTCTCTCTCTGGTCTCTCTGGTTTCTCTCTCTGGTCTCTCTCTCTGGTCTCTCTCTCTGGTCTCTCTGGTTTCTCTCTCTGGTCTCTCTCTCTGGTCTCTCTGGTTTCTCTCTCTGGTCTCTCTCTCTGGTCTCTCTGGTTTCTCTCTCTGGTCTCTCTCTCTGGTCTCTCTCTCTGGTCTCTCTGGTTTCTCTCTCTGGTCTCTCTCTCTGGTCTCTCTCTCTGGTCTCTCTGGTTTCTCTCTCTGGTCTCTCTCTCTGGTCTCTCTGGTTTCTCTCTCTGGTCTCTCTCTCTGGTCTCTTTGGTTTCTCTCTCTGGTCTCTCTCTGGTCTCTCTCTCTGGTCTCTCTGGTCTCTCTGGTCTCTCTCTCTGGTCTCTCTCTCTGGTCTCTTTCTGGTCTCTTTCTCTGATCTCTCTCTGGTCTCTCTCTCTGGTCTCTCTCTCTCACCTGGTGTCTTGTACTTTCAGAGTAACTTTAACGTGGCGGTCCTGAACGTTGGTGCTCCGGCCGCTGGGATGAACGCTGCGGTGCGCTCTGCAGTGCGGGTGGGGATCACCGAGGGGCACCGCATGTACGCAGTCAGCGACGGCTTTGAAGGGCTCTACAAAGGACAGGTGTGTGTCTCAGCAGACGCACACACATACACACACAGAAAGACACATACAGACACACACATAAATACATAGAAACGGTCACAGATAGACAGACACATACTGTATATACACAGACACATACTGTACACAGATAGACACATAAATACACACATACACACACAGAAAGACACACACAGACACACACATAAATACATAGAAACAGTCACAGATAGACAGACACATACTGTATATACACAGACACATACTGTACACAGATAGACACATAAATACACACAGACACATGCAGACACACACAGACAGACACATACAGAAACACACAGACACACACTGAAAGACACATACATACACACACACTGACAGACACAGACACACACACAGACTCACACACACAGACACAAACAGACACCGGTGGTTGACTGTCACAGCGTTAACAGGTCAAAGCTGTCGGTTAAAAAAGAGGAAAAGGGGAGGTCTCTTAATAACGCTATTTTAAGCCCTATTTGCGCGATGTGCCGAGCGAGTCTCTCTCTAGCTGTGTGCGCCCATGTATTAGTAAACTCTGGGCCGACTCTCATGCCGCATGCGCCACATATGCACACGCACGCACACGCCCGCGCACACACACACACACACACACACTTTCCCCCTCTCCATACGTAACATCCACACGCATCATCTCTCCCCTCTGTTACTGTCAAAGTTGCACACTGGTGCGGGTCAGAACTACATTGGAGCTTACATTTACACACACACACATATACATACACACACACATATATGTATTGTACACACACATACATAAACATACACATACACACACACACACACATATATGTGTTGTACACACACACATACCGGTCTGTCGCGCTCGTCTGTGTCACGGAGCCCAAAGGATCGTCGCAAATATGCGGCTTCAGTCAAACCACATGAAACCTGTTTGTGCGGCTGGTCCTTGTCATTAGATCCACACACATCACTGCTTTTAAACTTTAGCGGAGACCTGCGAGACGCAGCTCGTCACTCGCTGCTCTGACCATGTGGACGAGCCGTTGTTTGCTGCTAAAAAGCAGTAACCCGCAGCACAGAAGAATGGGAAGATTAAAACAGCAGTTCTCTGTGCGCAAAGGTGCTGAAGCTGGTGCGGGTTTTGGCGCCGCTGTCTCGGCTCTGATCCAGTAGAACGCAGAGCTGCACTTATGAAAAGTACACGGCTCAACATGGCGTTTATTTCAAAGAATGTGGAATATTTCAAACTACGCGGTTAACCGGTTTCAACCGGTTAATGAGGCTCAGTGGTCGGTCATGACAATTCATAGTTTTTTACATCCCTAATACAGACACACATACAGACACACAAATAGACACATACATACACATACATACACACATACAGACACACACAAACAGACACACACACACTGACACAAGCATAAATGATTAGAATATTGAATAGCTGTTTTTCAGTTGAACAGCCTGCTCACACAGTTTGAACTGATATATTGTCCTCATTTATATGAAAATGCACGAAGAGGAGGAGACAGCAGCTGATCATATTTCTGACTCACTGCAGAGAAGGAGAAGGGCGAGCTACGTGGACCACTGCGATAGACCATCTCAGTCATTTGATTTTTGATTGTCCTTTGAGGGCCCGGAGCCAAACATACAACAGGTGTATTCACTCGCAGCCTCGTGGACACGGCTGGAAACAAAGGGTAGACAGAAATAACCGCAGTGTGGACAGACCCAGGAGCGAGGCCTGATATCAGCCTGAGCTCCAGATATAAACCCATCTCACACTTTTATATCAGGCGACGATGGAAACACCTTCAGTCGACCTCCAGCACAGAGGAACATGGAGATTATCAAGCGGTCTCCAACACGCGGCAAAAAGCGATCATTCAAAGGGAACATTATCAAACCCAGTCTACAACACAAAGCCTCATCATCCATTTTGTCCAGTTTTGTTTCAACCACAGCCGCTGGACTCAATTTGTTCATAGAAATATTTACACAATCTATGAAACTATACCAAACATATTCAATGAGTAAGGGATAATGTTTAGTACGCAAGTCATTATCGGAAAATAAGTACCGACAGGGCGGACCAGACCCCGACGCGCAGTTATGTTGTGTGTGTACCAACCCAACACACAAAATAAACTTGACTTTAATGAATGCCGAAAGGTTTATTTAATGACTACCAATTAAATAGTTCCCAAGTTTTCCTGCGGCAGGCGAGTAGCAGTTGGAGTAGGTTAGCAGGCTAGCTAACCTACTCCAAAACTAGAACTCTCTCGAAGTACATGAAAACTGAGCTAAGAATTGTGAACATCAGCAGTGAGTGACCCAAATATAAACTTAACCTAAATCCATAATCAGATCCTCTGCAAACGTGTCCTAAAATGTTCTACTAATGTTAATGGTTTCTTCCGGGTTTACCGCAATCGCATTTTGTCACATTAAAACAGTATTTTTGTCATGAAAATTTTAACAGATCATTCTGAAAACCTGTGTTAAGAACAGTGGGGGAGGGTCCCAGCTCAAAAGTGGCCAAATTGACAGGCGCTGACATGCTGCAATACCACCCCGGGCCGATGGGGGTGGACCCAGAAGAAGAATTAGCCAATGCTAACATATAGCATTGGCAGACCTCTCAAAAACGTCTTTACAGGATGGACCAAACGTTGGCTCTTGGCCCAAAGCTCCGTTCCACATGTGTCAATGCTGAGGGGGGTGGATTTTTTTGGTCCACTCTAGTTTACTTGCTGTGAATTTTTTAAGTCTCTCGTTCAAATGAATGGAGCTGCGCCGGCTGACGCATGCGCAGATGCTTTTTTTCACAATTTTCTAGTGGGCGGGACCACTCGCGGCCATTTTGGATTGCTCCAGTAGAGCACATTTTTTGGCCCATTAGTTAGAACGGCGGAGATAGGCGTGACTCTGTCCATTAATATATACAGTCTATGGTTAAGAATGAGTTATTTGGTCAAAATACCTTATGATCATGTTTCAGATTCTTTGAGGTTTGAGTCGTTTCGAAGCTCCATAAACAGACCTTCCTAAACAAATAACTTTATTTCTGACTTTATATCTGATTTTTGCAGATTAAAGAAATCACATGGGGCGACGTGGGAGGATGGACCGGTCAGGGCGGCTCTCTGCTCGGAACCAAGAGGTGAGGTCTATAACAGACTCCATGAGGTTAAACATAAACATAAGTGGTTAGCCCTCTCGCTTCTCAGCAAGAAGGTCCTGGGTCTGCCTCTGTGTTTACCTGCACTGCAGACGCTAGAGGCAGCCTGTTCGTAACAGCGCTGCTCCTTGTTCTGTGATTGGAGTAGAGCTAGCATTATGCTAAGTTTCTACTCAGAACCTTTTACGGCCTGAATTCATACACAGCTGAATTAATGACCTCAAGTTTTCAATTAAATTACAGATTATAATACAACTTGTATGTAGGAAAATGCATTTTTATAATATATTGTGTGTAGCTTTAAACTGGCTACATTAAAAATAGAGCTAAAACCAACAGGTTGCATCTGCGAGAATCTGGAGCCTAATGTGTGGATGGTAACGACCTAGCAACCGAAGAGCCAATCAGGATTGCACTAGAAAAGTATTGAACTTAAAGCTGCACTAACTGACTTTGGGATTTTGAAGCAGCAGACTCGCTGGCCTCGCTCTTTCTGCTCCCCTCCCCGCACCCACGAAGCTATCTCCCCCCCACACACACCCACTGTTGGGACGGAGCTAGTGTCTCTCAATATGGATAAAACATGGATATGGATTTGCACGTGGATGGCGTGACCATAGAACGATAGAACCGGGAAGCGCGGAGGAACGAGACTTTCTTTTGGATGGCTGTCTCGCTGTGTAAGCAGTAACCGGTGACGAAGACGAGGAAGCTTCAGGTTAGCTCCTCGGCTTGTTGTGCTAACTCAGCTGTCTGTGCTAACGGACCTGTAGATTTCTCACGAAAGTGGGGGCTAGTGGTCCGCGGTGATTGGTCACAATCCGCGACCCGAAACACATTCTCTTCCTTGTTTCATCAAAACTCGATCTAAAATATAATGTCACGCCAGCACAAATCTGCACTACTTTTTCTTCAAAAGGACGTATATCCCAATGCACTACATGGACATGAATAGCATTTTAGTAATTAATACAAAAATAAAGTCAGTTAGTGCAGCTTTAAAGGACCAATATCTACAAATCTGGACAAAATCGGTATACTGCAGCCTCTCCCACTCTCCCTGACTCAGGTTGCCAGATATGCAGACGAATCCAGCTGGGACCATAACAGCTGAATAGACAAGAGTTTTGTCAACAACAAATCTATAACCAACACTTTTTTCACAAGAATAGAAATCCTGGTTTTATTCCTTGTTTTCTAGTTAATGATTTGAGAATCATAATGAGACCTTTTTAGTACTGCGGCCACATGGTACTTTACCAGTGAGATTAGCTCCACGCGGTGAGTTATAGAATCCCGGATCACAGACTTTCTGATTGGTGAAACGGTGGAGGGCGGGAGATCGACATGAAAACAATAACAAGATTATAACGGCTGGAAATCTAACTAAGAAATTCAAATATTTCTGAACTACTGTTATCAGTTAAAGAAGTGTTTTAATGCCATTTAATGATGACTTGACATGAAAATCTTACATATTTCTTCTTTAACCCCCACAGCTTGAGCTAAAGCTAATTTGATTGTGTGTTTTGTGTCTGAACGTCAGGACTCTTCCGGGGAAACATCTGGATAAGATCGCGGAGCAGATGAGAATTCACAACATCAACGCGCTGCTCGTCATCGGCGGATTTGAGGTACGAGGTGTAATGCTCCATGTGTCCACCAGGAGTCCCCCACGCCATCACAAACGCTTGGATTTGAACACATTTCTCCTGGTTTATAGGGCGACATGAGATGCTGTTGTTCGTGTCCTGTAGTTTTCCCTTCACACTCACAGCTGTTTTGATGATGTCACAGACTAAAGCTGGGAAGTAAAGAAACAGAGATCGACCGATATGCAATTTCTGTGGCAAATACCAATAATATCAACGTTTGACTAAGCATTTACAGTTAGTTAAGAATCTTTCACAGATTATTATCTCTGTATATTTTGTGTGATGAATGATTACTTTTATTTCACTTTTTAACAATTTACCGCTCAGTCCACATTCCCTCCCTCACTTCGGCTCATGAGCTTTTGAAAGTCTGGGCGTCTCAGCGGCGCCCCTCGACCCGGCAACGGATAAAGCGGAAGATAATGGATGGATGGATTACTTTTATTGGGCTTGGATTTATTTTTATGAGGTATATTCAGTTCAATCTGGAGAGACTCGAACAATCAAAACATAAGAAACATTTCTAACAGTATTAGAAATGAACATTGGTTGGCAGTAATCTGACACTACATAAATCACACATATGACTCTGAGGACTATATTTTCAACATTACATTTGTTAGAGCTCTGCACGATTGCAGAAGGGGAAAGAGATTATGAGATGAAGCCCCCCGGATGATGGTGGGAGCGAGGAGAAGGATGAAAGAGCCGGCCCGGAACAAGGCGGCGATGGGGAGGAGGAGGGTTGCAGCGTGAATGAAGCTACTGCTTGGATGGAGCTTCCTCCTGCTGCCAGGTGGGGGCAGTGTGGTGCTGCTGCTGAGTGACAGATGCTGTTGCCGTTAGCAACAGTGGGAGGACTTGGAGCTGTGAGCTTAGTTCTTCCTATTTTTTAGTCTGAATTTCCACGTTAGCTTCATTTCGGTTTGGATTGAAACTGAATTGGACAATAGATAGATTCTCTTGACAGATTTACAGATGTTATTTTGTTGAAATTATCACAACTTTGATTGCTTAGATTTCGGTATAGATGAAAGGTGTTCAAATCCAACCCTGAGGCCACTTCATGTAAATGTTATTTTCCTGATGTTGCTTCCATCGTTTCTCTTCCCATTTGTTCATTGTTGTGTCTTCGAGTTGTGTATCTGCTTTAACTCGTGGCTCTTTCCCATTGGCCCTTTGCACTCTGGCCCCTCCCACTCCGGCCCCTCTCACACTCACTGTTTGCTGTCAACACTGCGGTCTGGTGTCATCTGGTCTGGTCTGGCCCAGTCTGGTCCTGGCCGGTCCTTCACTTATCAGACAGAAGGCCGCAGTAGAGACCCCGGTGTTAGTCCACATTTAAACCTGCTCCTACATCAGTCCACCAAACACACAACTCTAACACAACTCATTTAAGATCCTCATACCTGACTTCACGACTCCAAACCCCATCTTTCTGAGCATTTTAATTCCTCTAAGCCAGTGCTTCTTAACCATAGGACCGCTGCCCTCACCAGCGCCTCCCAGTGGACCGTTAAAACACATTCACCCATGGATCAAAAATATAAATGTTTTTTTTTAGAGTTTCTTAGATCATCACCAATGTCCTTAGATCCTCCTGCATCAACAAAGAAAAACTCTACCCGCTCCCACAGATGGACGGACTCAGGCTGTAGAATGAGAAGAAAATATATTACAAACCAAGTAAAGACAAGAGATGTGATTTGATCTAATAAGCTCAAGCCATTTTATATAACAATGTTTTTCTTGTCAACCGTAGATCTGTTTTATTATTGAGTACAAAGTAAATAGAGAGTTAGAGTTAGAGTTAGAGTGAGGCTAAACATGCACTGTGCTCATGTTGAATGGGTCCCTGGGAAACTTTGGACAATAAAGATTGGGTTCCATGGTCACAAAGGTTAGGAATCCCTGGTCTGCGCTATTTTGACCCCATGATACCCTCCTTCCCCCACCTCCAAGATGCTTTTGACCCCATTTTGTGCCCTCATTATTGACCCATTCTACCCGACTTTAAAGGAGACATATTATGCACAATCGATAACATGACTACATTGTCCCTCATCCATCACAGATCTGGATTCGTCTTTAGCTCCATCCACGCTAGTATCAAGAACTTCAGGCACAAACGTGTAGCTCCGCCCCTTCTGTCTAAACGCTCCTGTCTCAGTCCTGTAACAGTATGATGTCATTGGACTACTATGACATCACACTCAGAACAGTTATCTGCCTTTCAAAACATAAGCATTGACCATAAATTAGTTTTTGTTATTTCACAGGGATGTGTTTGCAGCTGGTATTTTTCTAATTCGGAAAATGTTTTTAAAATCCTACCCCTCCCTCTGGTGGCAGTATAGGGGTAGTGACAATTTACGTTGCATACTTATTTCACCATAGATTTTCAAATAATTTCACATTCTAAAACGTGGAGGGACAAAGTAAATCATTATCATTTTAACAAAATAGTGATATTTCTCCTTTAAGCTCTATTGTACTGTAATTTCCGGACGCACTTGTTTCTATTTCTTTGACACCTGCGGCTTATATAGCGATGCGGCTAATACAGTACAGACCAAAGTTTGGACACACCTTCTCTTTCTCTTTTTATTTTCATGATTATGAACATTGTAGAGTCACACTGAAGACATCAGAACTATGAATTAACTCAAGTGGAATTATGTACGTACAAAAAAAAAGTATGAAACAACTGAAAATATGTCTTATGTTCTTCAAAGTAGCACCTTTAGCTCTGATTACTGCTTCACTCTTGGCATTCTCTTGATGAGCTTCAAGAGGTAGTGAAATGGTCTTCAACATGTCTTGAAGGAGTTCCCATGATGCTTAGCACTGGACCTTTCGCCTTCACTCTGTGGTCCAGCTCACCCCAAAACCATCTGGACTGGGTTCAGGTCCGGGGACTGTGGAGGCCAGGTCATCTGGCCCAGCACCATCACTCTCCTTATTGGTCAAACAGCCCTTACACAGCCTGGGTCTGTGATGAACTTAATGCGTTGCGGTGAAGATGTAATCGAACTCTCATCAGACACATTTTTCCTTTAGCCTTGCAGGCATATTTATTTTATCGACAGGCGAGAGTAACGTAACTGTGCTCTCCCCAGCATCACCACATGGAATAACTTACACACACGGAACAGGTAGTGTAGGCGTCAGATAACACAGAGGTAAAGTCAACACTGCCCTCTAATGGACACGACAAGTAAGGGCGTACAACAGTACTACACTTAACAGTCTGAAACAGTGGGGGAGGGTCCCAGCTCAAAAGTGGCCAAAATGACGTGCGCTGACATGCTTCCAATACCACCCCGGGCCGATGGGGGTGGACCCAGAAGAAGAATCAGCCAATGCTAACATATAGCGTTAGCAGACCTCTCAAAAACGTCTTTACAGGATGGACCAAAAGTTGGCTCTTGGCCCAAAGCTCCGTTCCACATGTGTGTCTATGCTGAGGGGGGTAGATTTTTTTGGTCCACTCTAGTTTACTTGCTGTGAATTTTTGAAGTCTCTCGCTCAAATGAATGGAGCTGCTCCGGCTGACGCATGCACAGATGCGTTTTTTCACAATTTTCTTGTGGGCGGGACCACTCGCGGCCATCTTGGATTGCTCCATGAAAGCACTTTTCATGGCCAACTCCTATGAACAGCGGAGATAGGCGTGACTCTGTCCATTAATATATACAGTCTATGGTCTGAAAGTACAGTCAATAGAAAAAAAGAAAGGAAACTCATTGAATGAGAAAGTGTGTCCAAACTTTTGGTCTCTACTGTATTTATATTGTAGTAGAGTTGGGCTGAGTTTATGGACTTGGATGAGTAATGGAAGCTAACGGTGAATGAGTCATGGAAGCTAATGTTGTCACTAAATCATGTTTTGTCGAGTTAAAAGAGTCTTCTTGTATTCAAATGCTGACATTTTTTTTTTTTTTAATGTTTTAGTCCAGAAAGTACGGTACAATGTGTCGATCCTGTGTTCTAAACCTCATGACGACCCGCCCCCCACACAGTTCTAAAGCCCTATTCTAAGGCTGACCTTTGACTCCGTATGACCTCTGACCCCCCCTGCGCACCCACGTTTGGTCCGGGGTGGCTCAGGCGTACGTGGGGCTGACGGAGCTCGCCGCGGCCCGGGACGCGCACCCCGAGCTCTGCGTTCCCATGGTGATGGTCCCGGCAACCGTCTCAAACAACATCCCAGGATCCGACCTGAGCATCGGCTCCGACACTGCGCTCAACGCCATTACGCATGTGAGTGACAGCCGCAGCAGCCAATCAGATGCCGGCAGCCAAGCTCTGATCCGCCCACTGCCACAGCATGCAGCAGGAGCGAGGCCGAACGCAGCAGGAAACAAAACACACATGAAGTTTATGGCTAGCAACATAGTGTTAGCCTTAAATGAGGAAGAAGCCTATTCAATCATAAGCTAGCTGGTGCATTTGTTCTAGAAACGTTGGCTTTGCGCTGTAACAAGGGCAGCTGTGTCGCTAACATGGTATCAAAACTTTGAGTATTAAATATAGCAATAGCAGCAGTAGTAGTACCACTAGCAGTAGTCATAGCAGCAATAGTCACAGTAGTTGTAGTAGTAGTACCACAAGCAGCAGAAGCAATAGCACCAATAGTAGCAGTAGTAGTAGTAGTATTAATAGCAGTAGAAGTTGAAAAGTTAGGGACTCCAGCTTTAAATGCCACAGTAAATATCCTCATGATCAGAATTAAGGGCCAAACGGAGAGATAAAGCTTGTGCCTGCTGCTGGTGCCTGCTGCTGGTGCCTGCTGCTGGTGCCTGCTGCTGGTGGCGGTTGGTGGTTGGCGGTTTGGGTGAGTGTGCAGGTGAGTTGGCGCATGTGTTTTTCTGCATGGCGTTTGCCCTTGTGCCTTTGAGCCACACATCCCGAGGGTCTGGCACCGGTCGCACACCACACACTTCCACACGTCAACACTTCACACACAGGTTTATTCTACAGGACCCCCATAACCCCGCCCCTGCCCCCCCCCTCCCATTCTCTCTGGCCAATGGGAAGCCAGAGGAGCCGCCCTGTCCTGGCGCTGGTCACATGTGCGCAGCTGCTTCTATGCTCACAGTTTTTAAGTAAGATCCATCTCTGCACAAAAACAAAAGCTGTATAGATAAAGAGCAGTGTTGATTCTTTTGAAAGTCTTGGAAGTGTAGTTACTCAGCTTGTGATCTTCTTTCAACTATGTGAATTTTTTGTTTCTACATGTATTTTATTTTGATATCATAATTTCATTTATAATAATAAATATAATTAATATTTTTTTTTTTTTTAGCAAATTCTCTAAAACTAAACTAAAATGTGGCTGTTTCCATGGTAACACACTGTTTTCTTGCAGTAGTTAGCATGTGTTAGCCTTTTAGCTAACTGTTTTTTCGTGTTGTTTATTTTTTTTGTCCTTATTTTTGTATTTAATTCTCTTCCTTTCTTTTTAAAATAACTGTAACTCCCAGATTTTGACTGTTCTATTTATTTGAAAGTAAAACTCAAATGTAGTTGTTTCCATAGTAACACACAGTTAGCATTTGGTAGCCTTTTAGCTAAGGGTTTTTTCTGTATTTAAAGTTATATTAACCAGTTTTAGCACTTAATAAAAGTGAATAAAAGTATAAATGACTCAATTCTAATATGGAAAACTGACTTTTTGGGCGGTTATTTTCAGAATTTAATTGATTTAATTGACTTTGGGAGTTCTAGTAGTTTCACAATTCTGGGAGTCAGATTCAGTTTTTTTGCTGTTTGCAGTAAAACCACATTGGAATACAAAAAGTGCAAAAGTCTCCAGTGAGCATTAGACATGTACAGGAGTAAAATAAGCTAAAATATACTAGAATTAAACAAGC